CTCTTCAGAGACCCTCTCTTTTTTACCACTGCTAATGAGATCCCGCTATATGGTGGGTGTTGCTTGGTCAGGTATGCTCTGCTTCAAATTGACACTATTTACTGGTTGTTCTATAATGCTCACTGTAGAGAGGGGGTGTTCTGCAAGACCACATGTTCTGCATGCCCAGTGGTATATATGTATGTTTCTCATCCATAAGTTTCATTCCATTGTGCATTGTCACTCATGGACTTTCATGAGTAAAGCAGAAGGGGATTTCTGACCCCTTGATTGAGTAAGTTGGAGATGGTCTGCTTTATCAAAATAGGAAATCATGGACACTCATTGCACTTTCTCCAGTGTAACATTCCTCAGGCTCCCCATTGCATTTACTTCTCCCTTTCCTTTTCGAGTGAAAAAAGGGAGTCCTTACCAGTTTGCAGTTGCTGGGGTGGTGGACTATGGAGGCTTCCTCCTGAGTACATTGTGGACTTTTAACTTACCATTTATCCAACCAGTGAGAAGAGAGCAAAGCTGGTTTTTCTTCTTTTGTTTCCCTTAGATGCTTATTCCCACGTGGACAATTTTCAGTTGGAGCAGGGGCCAGCTTACACTGGATCCTCCTCATAATACTTGGTTTGGGATGACACTGCCCTGTTCCTACGGTTGTGTGCAATAGAGGCCCCCTTTCTCCTTAATTCCAGTTGCAGGTGGTTCCTTCCCTGCTCCTACAGTTGAGTTTGGGGGACTTTGTCTGCCTCGTAGTACTGGCAACAGGATGTACGTACATTGTTCCTTCGGTTGAGCAAATGTTCCATATCCTTCTTGTAATTCCAGATGCAGAATGTCTTTTCCCTACGTTTATGGTTGGGTGAGTTGAGGCAATGCCGTGACCCTGTAATGCCGAGTTTGGTTTGTTGTACTTCTTGCTGCTACAGTGGTTTTGAGAGTTTGTACAGTTTTGACTACATGCTAACTTCCTTTTCGTAATTCCAGTTCCTTGACGTATGACATTCTGTTTACTTATGGTTTGGGTTTGTGTGTATATGTAAGATGGCCCATATGCCCTAGCCACAATGTTTATGTTACTTTATATTCGTTTTTTATCTGATTGATCCTGAACCTCTTAATGCTAAGGACAAGTTGTGGAACCTCGTCTGTCTGGTTAAGGTTGGGGTATATATGTACTGGAAGTCAGGTTGTTTTTTACTATGGATTTCACCTCAGAACGAATTACACTTGTGAACATCCTTTTTTTCCACCCGTATCAGGTCCATTTCCTTCTTATAGGGTGAAGGGCATACCTGTTCCAGAAGTAGTGCAGTGCCCACGTGTGCTTTGGTTTATCTCAGAGCACACTTGGTTATTCTGGGTGGTTGCTTTCTGCTTGGTTTCATTGTTGTGTGCCTACAAAAGCCCCTCCACCTTTGCAGTGTGATATTTTAGCTTTGTGTGAGAAGAGGTAAGACTGTATCAGAAGTTAACCTTTTCTTGCAGTCTTACACTGAAAATGTATGTCTGATAGGTACTTAACTTCCCTCACATAAAGAAAGAAGATTGAGATAGACTTGTGTGAAAAGTGGGTAAGTACCTATCAGAAATACATTCAGGAAGTTAACCTTTTCTTGCACTCTTACACTGAAAATGTATGTCTGATAGGTACTTAACTTCCCTCACATAAAGAAAGAAGATTGAGGTAGACTTGTGTGAAAAGTGGGTAAGTACCTATCAGAAATACATTCAGGAAGTTAATCTTTTCTTGCACTCTTACACTGAAAATGTATGTCTGATAGGTACTTAACTTCCCTCACATAAAGAAAGAAGATTGAGATAGACTTGTGTGAAAAGTGGGTAAGTACCTATCAGAAATACATTCAGTGTAACAAAATGTTAACTTACAGTTTTAAGCTCTATTCATTTCATGGGTGTCTGGGATACATCCTAAATTATCACCCTCATACTAAAGGTTATTCAATTAGACTGAAAGGTAATAATACACTACTTCCTGTTGTATTCCATTTTTATTAGACACAGTTTATCATTTTTACCTTGAAATCCTAAACATCAGATTATCTTAAGAATTTAATGAAACTGGTAATGAAGTTGAGCTACTTCATCTTTTTTAATGTGTAAAAATATTTCTTGAGAAACACTTATTTCAAATCATCTACATTAGGCCTAATATGTAGAGCCAGCAAATTAAGCTACTGTTTGTTAATCATGATAGTGAGCTTCATCTTTTACGTTAATTTCATGTCTGTTTTGAGAAATAAGGTTTGTATTTGTAGAATATTAGTTAAATGAGATTTAAAACTTATAAATGGAAATGTGAGAAATGTTTACTTAATATTAGTGTAAATTATTCAAATTATAACATATTTTTTGTTCCAGGATTATCACTGGTGGTGGCGTTCTTTCCTAACAAGTGGCTTTACAGCAGTGTACCTGTTTGTGTACTGCATCCATTATTTTATCACTAAGTTGAACATTACTGGCTTCACCTCTACATTCTTGTACTTTGGCTACACTTTCATCATGGTTTTTCTCTTTTTCCTTCTCACAGGTATGGTTAATGTGTAATTTCACAAGCAAATTGAAACTTTTTTTTAACATTATGATCTTACGTAAGGAAGTTTTAGTTTGTTTGTTTTTACTATAAAATGCTTGTTGAAGAAAGTGACGTGTAGCTACTTCAGAATGTAATAGAGAAATTTATATTTGATAGGATGCAACTATTTTTACATTTTAGAATACAACCTTTTTTAGTTTTTTTTATGATGAACTCAAATAGAGATTTTTTTGGTTTGATATTCCTTTAAATTGTGATTAACATAAATTTAAAATATATATTTGTAAGGAATAAGGACACAGTTTTTTTTATGTTTCCTTGGTAGGTTTTTTGAATGCTTATTCATACACTAAATTGTTATGACAACCATGTTTTGTCTCATTTTTCTTATTCTTTTTTCTTGCAGGAGCTGTTGGATTTTTTGCCTGTTTTTGGTTTGTGAGGAAAATCTATAGTGTAGTGAAGGTTGACTGATTATTTCTCAGTTGTAGGGTAAAAATACAGCACAGAGTGAAGCAGCCACCCATGTTTACTGTCTGTTCTGATTCTCTAGAAAAAGTGGAGAGTAGTGAGGTGCAGGGAATTGTTGAAAGACTCTTATTATGGGAGACTTTAAGCTTGATTATTGATTCAAAACCTTCGTTAATTTAATGCACTGCAGTGAAATTGAAAGTGATTTGTCAGTTACTGTAGCTGTTCTGCTCTCAAAAGCTGTAACTTAAGTAAAATATAAATTGAATAACATATGAATGATTATGTTTTTGTTTTTTTTAACCTGTGTCAGTAACAGGTAATTCCACTGTATGGCAATTATTTTCTGGTGTTTGTTATTTCTCATATATAATCCTGTATAGGTTATATACGTACACACACACGGAGTTGATATTTTAATTGGATATCCCAAAAAATGTTGGTAATACTTAACATTTTTCTGAATTATTTGCAAAATTCTGAATTTGAAGAGAAAAATGTTTTTTGTTTTTGTCGCATATTATTATCATAAAAGAAGATTAGAAAAAAGGTGAATTTGTAACTCTTAAAAGTTAGATTTCAAATACATTTAATTTTTTTTTAGTGTTACTGGTACCTAAAAGATATCACTATCTATTATTAAGTAAAATATGAGTAATTCAAATATCCTACAGTGTATTCGTAATAATTTGAAATGATTAAAATTGGTAATTGTTTTCGTAGTGATGCACTAGAAATTGATCTTTGTTCAGTAATATGTCCTTTTAAACATTAATTCTAAATTGTTTTGTTTTGAAAACATCTTAAATCCTGTGCATTTTTTATTGAGCAAAACTTACTTTTGTGTCAGTTTTATTTTAAGTTGCCATAAGAAACAGAAACTTTAGGTATAGGTTGGCATAAAGCTTAGATTCCTGTTTACGGTATCAAAATGAAGTTTACTTACTGGAACCGTGCTTGTATCCATCAAATTGTGTGCACTCTAGTCTTTCTTCACCAGCAGTTTGTTTCCAGTCACACCACTGAATGGAACGTAAATATTTTAGTGTTAGTTTTCTTTTCATATTTGTAGTTCTAAATACTGATAACCTGTTTCACTGGTGATATTGTTTGGTTTGGGTACTAATACCTGTATTGTAAATATTACAGGTATATATTTCATGTGAACTACAGAACTGTTTTCTGCTTTTTTTTATTCTTATATATTATTCTCCTTCTGTTGCCCTAAGAGTACGATATTGTTTTGGTCAAGGTTTCAGTTTTGTGTCAAACCTTTAAACTGAAGGTTGTTTGTGTACATTAAAAATAATTCCCATAATGCATACAAAAATATTGTTAAATACTAGTTGTTATGTATGGTTATTTTATAGACAGGTTGCATAATTCAGATTTAATTATATGTACATTGTTTTGTTACTATACGTCTGATGATTTTTGTTGGCATTTGTAGTTGTTATTAGACATCTTTTTTTTGACAAGAACTAAGCAATGTGGTGCCACTTCTTGATAACAGTTTCACACAAACATACACTTGAAATTTGAGTTGCAAATATTAACCTGGTTTTAGTGTAGTTATGCATTTTATATAAAAAAAAAGGCTGAAAATTGAAGTAAAGAAGTTGTTGCTTAAGAATAATTGACTCGGGCAATTAGTCATTGAGTTACTAACCAAGTTATTTGAAAATGAAAATTCTGTTGTTTTGAACAAGTTGGGAAGTAATATGAAGTCTTTCAATTGCTCTAATATCAACTTTTTTTTATTGAAGCCTGCAGTTAGATTCATTATGTAATTTCTGTCAATCTAATAATAAAAAGTTTGTACACTACATGACTCTTGTTTGTTATAAATATTTGTATGATAGTTAATGCCATAAATCAAGTAGTAGACTCAATTCTTTTGAATTAATCATGAAAAAGTTTAGAATTTTTTCTTAACTTTAGGTCTTAAACATTACAGTTTTAGTCTAGATTTTGATATACCCTTAAACTTTCTGTTGTTTCAAAGTTAGACTTAAGGCAATAACTTTCTAGCTGGATTGGTTTTCTTCATCTAGTAGGATTATATGAAACATGCTTGCTCTTACCATTTGATTGACCTAGCTGAAATGATATAACTTCAAACTGTATTTTTCAGCTGGTAAACAGAAAATTTCTTGCCCATCGTGAGAAATGGTTTCATATTACAATTATACGTGATATATTATTTTTCAGCCAGTAGAGGAATGACTTGGGACGTGTGTACTGAAAAAAATACAATTATTTCCAAATTTTGTAAACTTTGACAGAAAAATCGTTTGTTTTTATGTTTTGTAAGTATAACATGTAATTCTGTAGAATTTATACTGAGTGAAACATAAACGCTTCAATGTAATTTATCTACAGTGATTTAAGTAATAATTCAGTGTTGTTGGGGAAAAACAAGAATCTTAAATTACAAAAAGCTGATACAGACCAGCACTATACATACCGATTTTTATGATCACAAAATATATAGACTGCTGTTATTACAAGTTGCTGTACGCAATAATAACTGTAAGTTACTAGTAAGCAGAAATTAGATGTCTGGAATATGGTTTAAACCAAACAGATCGTTTAAAGTGGACGTTGTGTAGGTTATTTCCTTATCATTCAAGACAGTTTAAAGTTAAACCAAGTCTATAACCCACAAATTCCATTATGTACAATTGATTTTCAGAAAAAGTTTAACGAAACAAATGATTAAAAACACTGAACTCGGCTCGGTTTATTTTGATTCTTTTTAAGCCGTAATGATTGAGTATAGCTTAATTAGAAGTAAGCCTTAAGATTAAGTTAATGTGTATCCCTTTAAATGAGGTGAAAAATAACAGTTACCAAAATAAAAATTACTGAGATTTTAAGTAAACCGGTTTTCTACCTACTTCCATTCAAAGTATAGATGGTGTAAAAACCAACGATCGTCTTTTTGTTGGCAAATATTTTAGGTAATTCTCCAAGTAATTCAGACATGCCTGTATGTATGCCTATGGTACCTAATTAAACGAATTTAGGGCTTTCACTTGAAATATACATTATTATTTTTGAAAATCTTCTGGCATTTGTGCCCCTCCCACCTTGTCGTGATAAGATCACATTGTTGGATCAACGCTTTTATGTTTCAGTATAACAATTACATGTTAAAATGTATATTACGTTAGTAACAATTAAAGGCTCTACTAGACATTTTTGTAACGTTCGTTTTATTAAAACTGACATTGGTAAGATAGCTGGAAAGATAATATGGTATCTCTGACAGTTGCTAAGATACTGGATAGTGATAACTAGAAATTTGTTTCTTTAAATTCGAATGGATATATTTATTACACAAACTAATGCTCTCTTCCTTATTTCCTTGTATTTGTTGGATTGAAAAACTTGTTCGATGTACCTTTTGTGACCATTGCTTCTAATAATGGGATAAACTATTGGAAAGGAGACCTGTTAAATATACAGTTATGTGATTTAAATGCGAGAATTATGATGATGAACCAAAGAGTATAATAGTTCCAGCATACGTAAACCAGCTTCTGCTTTAGAATTGAAAT